CACACGGGGAGACACACGGGGAGACACACGGAGAGAGACACGGGGAGAGACACGGAGAGAGACACGTGGAGACACGGGGAGAGACACGGAGAGACACACGGGGAGATACACGGTGGACCCACAGGCCGCTTTCAAACCTTTCACCGTCCTTTCAATTCCTTCGTAAAAACAACAACAGAAGAATAAATTACAGCGCGAGACCATTTCCAATATTTGTATAAAAGCAACAACAACAATCCCCAGCGTCAACTTACGTCAAAGGAACGCGGAATTTAGGACGAGTTAAATCAACAGAAAAATAAAAGAAAGGGCGAGTTTTAAAAAAAAAAAGCCTGAACACTTTCTGGAGTTGCTTCGAAGCCAAATAAGATTACGAATCGCAATTACAATTTATTTCGGCGGCTACGCATTTGTGTAACAGGGACCTGGCCACGTTTGTGTCGTCACCCCCCTCCACCACCACCACCACTACCACCGCGATGCAGTATAAAGCAGATTGAATTGTGTACGGGCGTTTCAACGACGCGCCGATTGTGATAATGATTGTAGCAGCTCGCTTACTCACTCAACCACTCACTCTCTCAACCACTCACTCAACCAACCACTCACTCTTTCAACCACTCACTCTTTCAACCACTCACTCACTCAACCACTCACTCACTCAACCACTCACTCTCTCAACCACTCACTCACTCACTCTCTCAACCACTCACTCACTCAACCACTCACTCACTCACTCAACCACTCACTCACTCACTCAACCACTCACTCACTCAACCAATCAACCACTCAACCACTCACTCTTTCTGAGTGGTTGAGAGAGTGGGTGAGTGGTTGAGTGAGTGGTTGAGTGAGTGGTTGAGAGAGTGGGTGAGTGGTTGAGTGATTGAGTGGTTGAGTGAGTGAGTGGTTGAGTATGTGAGTGGTTGAGCGAGTGGATGCGTATATGAGTGTGTGGGTGAGTGTGTGATTTGGTGAGTGAGTGGGTGAGTGAATTGGTGAGTGAGTGGGTGAGTGAGTGGGTGAGTGAGTGAGTGGGTGAGTGAGTGGGTGAGTGAGTTGGTGAGTGAGTTGATGAGTGAGTGTGTGAGTAAGTGGGTGAGTGAGTTTGTGAGCGAGTTTGTGCGTGAGTGGGTGAGTGAGTGGGTGAGTGATTTGGTGAGTGAGTTGGTGAGTGAGTTGGTGAGTGAGTGTGTGAGCTGTTGAAACCATCACAACAGGCGCGTCGCTGTTAGTCACGTGGTGCACCACGTGACGACGCGGTTTGTTTGGCTGTGTCAGGTGGTGGAGGGGTGTCACGACACAGAATTGACCGGACCATCATGTACGTGGCCCTGAACGACAACTCATGTTGTGAATCCCAAAACCACCGCATTGAACCCGAGACACGCCGTGTCAATAAAGTTACGTTGTATACAAAGTTATCAATAAAGTTACGTTGTATACAAAGTTATAAAAGTAACATTGGGGGGCGGGAGGCGGTGTGGGGGGGGGGTATACGGGCCCCTAATCCCTTCACGATTTCCATGGATCGTATCGCAACGCTCATTCGATCGATTTTTAAAAAATTATATTTAACGGTCTGTCTAAAAAAGATCGTGGCTACGCATTTTTCTTTATTTTAAATCGTTTTTGTTCTCGTGTCCGTTTGGACACACCCGTCAAAACCGGTTAACAGCGGCTAATACCGGTTAATACCGGTTCCTGAAGGAATCCGATGAGCATTAAAGCTCTTTTGTATCTAGATTTGAAGCTTTCGTGACTGCAAGGATTCATATTCTTAGGTTTTTTCGGTAAAGTCACGTAGGTAAATTTTTTTTAATAAAAGCACTTGATACAGCTATCGTGCTGTGACGGTTCCACCTGAAGACGGAAGCTTGCGTTGCCTCCGAAACGTCGTGATTTTTATTTTATTTTTATTTTACTTTTATTAATTTTAAAATTTTTACCAACGTGACTTTACCGAAAAAACATAAGAATACTCTTTTGTATCCACAGACGTCGACGAAACGCGCCTGGAGCAATGAGAGACAATCCAAGGCATCTGTCCCAGTGGTGACGGTTGGGGCCAGCCACGAAGTGACGGTGACGTCACCGCTGAGCCTGTGCCAGGCTAGGTGCACGTCGAGGCCACGTGAAGTGTCGAAGGCCTCGCTGCTCGCAGGAGGAGGTCACGGGACAGACCCGGCAGTTGCCACGGGTTGACCGACTGCGATGACCGGCAAGCTGTACCCCCTACCGTGCGAACAGCAGCAAAGGCAAAGACAAAGATCCCCCGTGTAGCCTTGGCAGACTGTCGGGGCAAGTGCTGTTAGCGAGCACCTATGAAGGCCGGCACGACACACGAGGGGGTGGGTGGCCAGCACCACGCCCGACCGCCTTTGTCTCCCCAGTGGTGATGTTTACACACCGCACCAAGTACTCATTTGAGGCTGAGTCGACCTAGGGGAGGCCCAGGACCGGCTGATATCATCGTTACCGATGTTGGTGGCCGTGAGCGTCAATTGAACTCTGGTCGCCGGGTTCGTAGCGCAGCGTAACGCTAACCACTACACCCACCGCTCCCCACTCCACCACCACCACCACCAATCTCGTCACTTGCCATCCACAGGCGCGTCGGTTTGACTCCATCTCAATCGCACCGCGCCGATTGTGCATACTTTTATATTTAAAAAAAGATAAATCTTTAATCAGTGCATTAATTGCTCCAAGTCCATTGGCACAGCAATTTTTTGACGCCCGTAACCGGTTTTAACCGCTACCGCAAACAAAAACTCGTCCGCAACCACCGTGATGAATTACCGCATTCTCCGCCCTCGAAATCAAAACAAGATGTCAAAAGTTGTTTCGACGAAGCACCCGAGTCGGGTCAAGATCTACCAGAATTATAAAACGCAACCACAACTTTTGATTTAATATAAATTGCAGGTGGGTGCGGTGGGGGGGGGGGGTAATATGTGTCTTCTAAATCATCAGAATATGGTACTGCCCGTTAGAAGTTCGCGGCAGCGGCTTTGAAGGCACTCAGTCTGGTTACCGTGTTGAAGTCGCCTGGGGCGGGGGGCTATTGCCGAGGTGGGAGCTTCCTCGGATTTCCGAATGGAATTCACACCTCAGCCACCGTCTCACAATGATCTCCATCCAGCAGTGTATAGACCATGGTGGTGATGATGGTTACACACAGAGAGAGAGAGAAGCACGCGGACGAGAGGACACACACACGGGGTAGACATCACCACCATCATCACCACATCGATCTCCATCCAGCAGTGTATAGACCATGGTGTTGATGATCACACGCGGGGTAGAGACATCACCACCATCATCACCACATCGATCTCCATCCAGCAGTGGATAGACCATGGTGTTGATGATCACACGCGGGGTAGAGACATCACCACCATCATCACCACATCGATCTCCGCCCAGCAGTGGATAGACCATGGTGGTGATGATCACACGGGCGGGGTAGAGACATCACCACCATCATCACCACATCGATCTCTACCCAGCAGTGGATAGATCATGGTGGTGATGATCACACACGCTGGGGGGTAGAGGAGGAGGAGGCATCGTGCAGACTGCGAAGCGGAGTGAGTGGTGGGGCTTGGGCAGGAGGCGTCACGCCCAGAGGGGGACGGCGGTGGCCGATGGTCGAGACTCAGCACGGAGCGGCAGTCGAAGGAGGGGACGCGGGGGAGGGGGGGGAGGACGTCCCCCACCACCAGGGAGACGGAGACACGGGAGGGAGGAGGGGAGGGACGAGTGGGCTTCATCCAGCAATGGATTAACCACAGCTAATGATGGCGGTGATTGGTTTAGGTGGTAGCAAGAGCGATTTGGAAACGGCAGTATGCACGTGTGGGTGGTTTGTGCCGATGCATCTTCTGCAGAGAGAGAGTGTGTGTGTGAATGTGGGGAGCGGTGGCGCCGTGGTTAGCACACTGCGCTACGAATCTCGGTGAGCCGAGTTCGATTCTCGCTCACGGCAAGACGTGTAACAGTGGTAGCGAATATTCGAAACCGGTCTTGGGCCTCCCCTAGGTCGACTCAACCTTAAATTCATAATCAACGTTTTTGGGTTTAGATCGCGTTATTTATAAATGTGTCGTAACCCTCCACCACCCGACACGGCCAATCAGTAAAAAAGCGTCACGTTGACAAAAGACAAATACCATTGGAACCTCATTTGTCAGTAAAACATATGATAATTGTTTTTTTTACCCTTCTCTCTGGCAACAAAACTGACACCTTTTTTTACAAGGAGTCATGTTTACATAGACCACAATACCTGCAGTCATAATGCAAACAAAAAACAGTGCACAAGGACAGTGCACATTATCAGAGTTATGTTTTTTTTTGCATTATGACTGCAGGTATTGTCGTCTATGCAAACATGACTCCTTGTAAAAAAAGGTGTCAGTTTTGTTGCCAGATAGAAGGGTAAAGAACCAATTATCAAAGGATAAATAGTTCACTGCTTTAGCCCACCGGTGTGTTGAAGCGTGAAACCACAACATGTACAATATTTGAGTAGTTCGACGTTTAAAAATAACGCGATCTAACCCAAAAACGTTGATTATGAATAATATTGGTCGCGAAAGCCTGCTACGTGTGAAATCAACCTTAAATGACTACCCTGGTGAAAATGAGGCCTTAATATGATTGCTACTCGCGATCAGCACTTGCCCCAGCAGCCTGCGAAAGGCTACGCGGGGGTGAGAACCTTTGCCTGTGTATGTGTGTGTGTGACCAAAGTTGCACACATTTATTGAACCCGGGCGCTAGCCAATTTATATTTATTTTAAAAGGAAGGGGTGTGAAGGGAGGACGGGGGGAGGGGGGGCGCTGGAGGGGCGGGGCTGGGTGGGGCGGAGGGGAGGGGTGGGGAGGGGCGGGGCTGGGTGGGGCGGAGGGGAGGGGTGTGGGTGGGGGTGGGGGTGGGGGTGGGGCGGAGGGGAGGGGTGGGGGTGGGGAGGGGTGGGGGCTGGGGTGGGGTGGGGTGGGGTAGGTGCGTCTTACTTTTCGGTGCGTCGGCGAGAATGTGGATTTCGATGGCGATGATTCGTGTGACGAGTGTCACGTGTGTGTGTGGCGTCTGCGACATGCGTGACGTGCGTGTGCCGCGTGTAACTGACGTGGCTGACGTGTCGGTGACGTATGCATGACGAGTGTGTGACGTGTGCGTGACGTGAACGTGACGTATGCATGACGAGTGTGCGACGTGTCTGTGACGCGTCTGTGACGTCTGTGTGACGTGTGTGTGACGTGTGAGCGTCTGTGTGACGTGTGTGTGTGTGACACGTCTGTGTGACGTGTGTGTGACGTGTGAGTGCGTGTGAGTGTCTGTGTGACGTGTGTGTGACGTGTGTGTGTGCATGTGACGTGTGCGTGTGTGACGTGTGTGTGACGTGTGCGCGCGTGTGACGTGTGTGTGACGTGTGTGTGTGACGTGTGTGTGACGTCTGTGTGCGCGTGTGACGTGTGTGTGACGTGTGTGCGCGTGTGACGTGTGTGTGACGTGTGTGTGACGTGTGCGTGTGTGTGTGACGTGTGTGTGACGTGTGTGTGTGTGCGTGTGTGACGTGTGTGTGACGTGTGCACATAAAGGCAATGTGACGTGTCCCACGTGCTCGATCCCCGCCTTTGGCTTAACGACCATTGTCGCTTAATCCGTTCGGAGCGAGCGTCGCACAAAGGCCGTCGCTCGCGTCTGAGTGAGCACCAAAGGGAGCCCCCCACTGTGCCTCGGGTTTTCGCAATCTCCCCTTTAGGGAGAAGGGGTGGCGAGGCAGGGGGGGGGGGGTGGCGGCAAGAGACTGAGGGTGCTAGAAGTCTACATTTAGAACACAGTTCAGCGTGCGCGTTGAGCACGCGGAGCGGAGCGCAGAGTTGGGGGAGGAGGTGGAGGAGGTGGAGCCGGGGGCGGTGGAGGTCGCGACGAGTGACGAGTTCTGCGGCGGACGTGGTCACTGTGAACCTGCAACTCGTGGAGTTCACCGGGACGAGGGGAGCGCGTGTCGGGCGAATCACCGTGTCCACCCCTTAACCCTTCCACCGCCTCCACCGCCGCCGACTCCACCGCCACCTCCACCGCCGCTTTGACACACGTACCACTCGGCCAGATTTGTAGCCGTGCGCGGCGGCGAGAAGGAGGAGGAGGTGGACGACGATGATGACGACGACGATGGCGGCGGCTGCTGCTGTTGTTGTTGCGGTTGTTGATGCTGGATCTGGTGGCTCGGAGAGGGCGACTCGGGGCGACTCGAGGTTGCTGGCGACTTGGCACTGTGTGCCTTCATGTGCTTGCGCAGCGAGCTGGGGTGCGTGTACGACTTGTCGCACAGCTTGCACAGGTAGGGCTTGTCGGACGTGTGCACGTGCATGTGCTTCTTGCGGTCGCTGCTGTTCGCGAAACGTCGGTCACAGCCCATGAATTCGCAGCGGAACGGTTTCTCTCCTGGGTGGGGGGCGGGGGGGGGGGGCGAGAGATGGACAGAGAGGGCGGTGATCGACGCCTTCTTGTATAGAAATCGATCCGCGGTGTGTCGTGGAGAAGGGGCGTTGCCCGAAGCGTCGTCCATTATGTTTGTTTTCCTTTTCAATGGCCACACACACACGCTGGTGGTGGTCCTGTTGTTGTTATTAACACGGGCCGTGTTGTTGTTGTGCTTGTGTACCACTGCCAACGCAGCAATCATATGCATAGAGTTTACTTGTGTTTAACGACAGCACTGGGGAGACAAAGGCTGCCGTGCGTGGTGCAAGACAAACCATTAAACGAGTACCTGGTGTGGACACATCGCTACAGGTGAGACAAAGGCGGCCGTGAGTGGTGTTGGTCACCCACCAACTCGTGTACCGTGCCGGCCTTCATTTGTGCTGGCTAACAGCACTTGCCCCAAACGCCTGCGCAGGCTACACCGGGCACATTTGTCTTTGTGCGTGCGTGTACAGTGATCAACACTGACACCTTAGTCTGGCTCTATGAGACCGCATGCTATGGGAGCCTCCAGTGATAACCATTGAACCCTATGAGCTCCAGTGATTTACACCGCCCCATATAAAAGTCTCAGCGATTAAACACTGAACCCTATGAGCGTTGGTGATTAACATTAAACCCTGGGAACCTCGGTAATTAACATTGAACCCTGTGAGCATCAGTGATGGACATTGAACCCTATGGGAGCCTCGGTGATTAACGCAGGAGGAGGAATGGCAAGGCCAGGAGAATGTCGGGTGATTATTCTGAATGTTTGCGTTGTTCCACATAGACTCAGAACGATAAGTAGAGACCCATATACAAAGAGACTCATAGACTCACAGATATATGTTGAAACTCCTAAGGATACATAAAGGCACACAGACTCAGAGACACATAGGAACCCATCGTGATACAGAGAGTCTCACAGATGTTCAAAGAGACTCATAGAGACGTATAGAGACTCGTAGAGGTACATGGAGACCCATAGAGATAGCACTGGTCAACACACTTTTTCTGGCATAAGGTATTCCAACGGTTTTAAGGTAATTTTGGGGTGCTGATTCCAAATCTGGTATCAGTTTTTGTCTATCAAATCAGGTTTTTGAGATATCAAATATTGCATTTTCAATAAAAACTGCAAAAGAAAAATATTAAATAGATGTGGATATCGACATAAAATGATATTTTAAACACATTATCTTAAAAATACAGCACCATATTTTTACACTAAAGCAGTCACTGACTCGCAACAACTTGCAATCATAAGTGACAGAGTTAATTTCGGGTAAAATCAATGAAAATGGGGTATGCCGATAGCATAAAAATGAGATGTGATAGAGCAAATCTGAGATCAGATTTGGAATCAGCACCCTGAAATTAGTCTAAAACAGCTGCAAAAGTCCAGGCCAGAATTTTTTTTTTATTGTTGATTAGTAGTGTAGTAGAGACGCACGGAGACCCGTAGAGACCCATAGAGATCGAGATTCGTAGAGATGCGTGAGAGACACGGGGCAGTGATGGGACCGTGAGGCCGAGTGAACTAGCGACTGCAGTTTGTGTTCCTTCAGCGGAGGACGAGAAGATAGATAAGCAGCAGCTCCACACGAATTATCTCTCTCTCTCTCTGTACAATAAATGTGTCTGGGTTAGATCGTGTAAATATATAAATGTGTCTAGATTTGAAGCTTTCGTGACTGCAAGGATTCATATTCTTAGGTTTTTTCGGTAAAGTCACGTAGGTAAAAAAAAATAATTAATAAAAGTTAAATTAAAAATAAAATAAAAAATCACGACGTTTCGGAGGCAACACAAGCTTCCGTCTTCAGGTGGAACCGTCATAGCACGATAGCTGTAATTTTATTTTTTTACCTACGTGACTTTACCGACAAAACCTAAGAATATAAATGTGTCATTAAACCGGCCACCACCCGACACGGCCAATAAGTGAGGTTTGTCACGTGACAGAATGTGCCAATTCTTTGCCAGTACGGCAACGAATTGGCACAACAATTATAATCGATCTGTCTCTCTGTCTCTCTCTCTGCTGCAGTGATCTCGTGGTGGCTACCACCAAGCTGTGGCAGCAGGAGCAGCAGCAGCAGGAGGAGGAGAAAGTCGAGCTGCTGGACAACTGGACGACATAATTCTTAGTTTAAAATTACAAAGAAATAAAAATAACAAAAAACTAAAATTTTTAAAATAAAAAAATTAAATCAATTTTAAAAATGTTAATAATTTTTTTTTAAAATGATAAGAGCAACACAAGCGATCGAAACGTCGTGGGTTTTTTTTGCTTTTATTATTTTCAAATTTATTTTATCATTTTTATTTTCTACCCACGTGACTTCACCGAAAGAACCAAGATTATGAATTGCTGCAGTCACGAAAGCTTTAAGTCAAACTTTCACTGGACGACAACAACGGCAGTAGCAGTGCTTCTGCTGCTGTCATGCACGAGAACAGAACTTTAGAATGAATAAGAAATAATATTTAAAAAAATGTGTTTTTTTTAAACACGCTTTAATGAAATGCACCCTAACTAAGTAATGGAAGAACTCTACTACTCCAGGATGTGACCCCGAAGCTTGCCACAACGTAAGGGACCTCGGTCATTTACAAACAACGTGAGTTGAGCGTGGTGTACGGTGCTTGTTCTGAAATATTTAGCTGTCTTTTCTTGGATTTTCTGTTTGCACATAGTCACATAGTCACTTTAAGATGTTTTCTTGTTCATGTTCATGTTTTAGTTTGTTGCGGTTGCACCCGATTCAAGAGCCGAATGGCTCACAGGGCTATACCAAATACTTGAAACTGAAACTGACAATTAGACCCAAGCCGGAAACATAACATGTAAAAAAGAATGTTTTAAAATATTACATTTTATTTTTTATTATATAATATAGTATTGTCATCAGTATGACATGAATATACCAAGTTAGCAGTCGATACCACATTGGGAAGTGGGTTAAAATTGAGTTACAAGATTTGACGATACGACAACAACAGACAGACAGAGTTAATAAAAAGCGTGTCAATAAAAAAATGTTGAAAAATATGTTTATTTTTATTTTTATGATATAACATGGTATTGTCATCAGTATGACATAAGTATACCAAGTTAGCAGTCGATACCACATTGGGAAGTGGGTTAAAATTGAGCTACAAGATTTGAAGATACAACAACAACATACAGAGTTAATAAAAACCGTGTCCATAAAAAAAATGGAATCCTTCATCCGGTGTCAAGGTGTGACCATCCCCCAACCCCCCATCCCACCGCTCGTCATAGCCACGTCACGTGGAGCCCCCCCCACCCTCAGCAAACGTGGGAGTCTCACAAACCTGCGCACCCCTCCACATGCACCGCTCCACCTCAACTTCCTCCATAGGCGGTGATGAGTTCAATCAGAACGATCAAAGCAATTACCGCAATCCACCTCGCCACCCTCCACCCCTCCCCCTGCCTCAGAGGTCGCAACCTGGTACCCGATACCCGTACCCTACCCGATACCCGATACCCGTACCCGGACCAGGCCGGGTACCCGTTTGCGACCCTGGTGCGGCCGGGTATGGGTAGGCCGTGAGTCACTGGTGAGTCACCGTTTGTCACTCATTTCCCAACGTCTTGTCTCTTCTCACAATTCAAGTTCCTAGAATCAACCCACCCGCGCCTGCAACACGGCTTCATCCCAGAGGTCGCAATCGGGTACCCGATACCCGTACTCTACCCGATACCTGGCCGGGTACGGGTAGCCGGGTATCGGGTAGGGTACGGGTACGGGTAGGGTACGGGTACCCGTTTGCGACCCTGGTGATGCCGGGTAAAGGTACGGGTAAGGAATCAAAACCCGTTTGCGACCTCTGCCCTGCCTCCCGTCGTCATCACCCTCCACCCCCTGCCTGCCGAGCCCGTCTCGAAGCAATGGCCTCGCATCCAGATGTTTATGAATGGGAGGGAGGGGTGGGGGCTGTGTCGGTTTATGCAAATGAGGTCAATTAAGGGGGATCACGTGGGTGGGGGCGGAGTGGAGTCATTAATTAGTTTCCTCTGAGCACGTCCGCGGAGGAGATGGAGCGATGCAGTCAATTCGAGTGGACCGTGAGTTCAGAGCCGCCCCCACCCCCCACCCCTTGGGGTGCGGCGAATCGGGGCGATCGCCCTGGTCCCCGCACTTTGAGGGGGCGGCCGGGGGGGAGGGAAACACGTGGTTTCTACGACGCCTCGGAGTCAGATGGAATACTTCCCCATTAATTCTAGATTTGAAGCTTTCGTGACTGCAAGGATTCATACTCTTGGTTTTTTCGGTAATGTCACGTAGGTAAAAAAATTAAATTAAAATTAATACAATTATTATTTTATTTTTATTAATTTTTATTTATTTATCGCAGGGGATGGGGATCAGCGGCGGCAACATGGAGAGTGGGGCCTTCATCCAGTCTGTGGGTCTCTGTGTGAGTCTGTGGGTCTCTGTGTGAGTCTGTGGGTCTCTTTGTGAGTCTGTGGGTCTCTGTGTGAGTTTGTGGGTCTCTGTGTGAGTCTGTGGGTCTCTGTGTGAGTCTGTGGGTCTTTGTGTGAGTCTGTGGGTCTCTGTGTGAGTCTGTGGGTCTCTGTGTGAGTTTATGGGTCTCTGTGTGTGTGTCTGTGGGACTCTGGGTCTCTGTGTGAATATGTGGGTCTCTGTGTGAGTATGTGGATCTCTGTGTGAGTATGTGGGTGTCTATGTGAATCTGTGGGTCTCTGTGTGAGTATGTGGGTCTCTGTGTGAGTTTATGGGTCTCTGTGTGTGAGTCTGTGTGAGTTTGTGGGTCTCTGTGTGAGTCTGTGGGTCTATGTGTGAGTCTGTGGGTCTCTGTGTGAGTCTGTGGGTCTCTGTGTGAATCTGTGGGTTTCTGTGTGAGTCTGTGGGTCTCTGTGTGTGTCTGTGGGTGTCTGTGTGAGTCTGTTGGTCTCTATGTGAATCTGTGGGTGTCTGTGT